GCCCCAGCCTCCTCGAGTCGCAGAGGGGCCTCAGCTGTCCCTGGTGATGGACTCGCTTCTTCATGGGCCTTTACCCAGAGAGGGAGCCCGGCTCAGTGCTCCTGAGTCTTGGACAGCTTCTTGGCTCCGGGGGTGGGGGAGTGGGAGTGGGGCAAAGAGCCGTACAGTAGAACCCCGGCACTCGACAGCATCAGGACTCGACATAATTGGATTTCGACTAGAAATGTCGAGAAAATTTTGCATCAGAACTGGAACAGAACATCGAATCTGCCGACCTGGCGCACGTGATTTAAAAAAAAAATCATTTTTTGTTGTGGGCTCATGCAACTCTTATCACAATCCATCCATCCATTAACGCACGTGATCTTTATAAACAAAAGCTGCTCGTGTTTCGGTCATTCGGCGTGAGTTGGTGTCGTTAGTACATGATTTAAAACTTTTGCGGCTGTGTTCCAAGTGTTTTGCTATAATTTTCTTAGTTTTTTGGCTTTTCATACTGTTTTTAGATTAAAGAACAAAACAAAAGAGGGGTCTTAAGAAAGACTTTAAAAAGAATCATCATGATAAGGAACTGGTTAACCATGTTACTGATATGGTTGATGATAATTTAGTAAACCCTTTTAGTAAACAGTTAAGGAAATGGCAACAGCAGACCACATTAGACAGATTTTGTTTTAGAGAAAGCCAGCCAGGTCCTAGGGAAAAATGCAAAGCAGGGAACAAACTCCTGAAAAGCAGCGAGTAGTGGATTTTCTGGAAGGGTATTCCCCTTCCCAACAATGACTCTCTCCATCCCTCCTTCCACACCCTGTCCACAGACCCAGGTCCTCATCCATCTCAGGGTATGAACCATAATGCATAATGTAGTTGTTAAGAACTTTTATTGTTGTGTTTCTTATGTAAATTATAGTACTTAACTCTGAACTTATTTACTTTGAAATTTCCGTGTAATGTTTTGTATAAAAAGGCAAGATTAGGGTAAAAACTTGGTGGTCAAGAACGGATTAATCTGTTTTCGGTTATTTGTTATGGGAAAAATTGATTCGGAACTCGACGGCATTGCATCTCGACGCGCCTTCTAGCACAGATAGTGTCGAGGTCTGGAGTTCTACTGTATATGGTTCCGTGGTCCCAAGACCCGGTGCCAAGCCCACCTAAGCCTTGGCCCTGCTTGCCGCCCGGCGTGCTCGCTCTGGCTT